GTAGTGTGTAGATTGTTCACCTCTGTGCCTCTGTGAAGGTTCTTAGAGATTTGCTTTAAGCATGTTCATAAATGATCTTTGAAGCATTTTTGTAATGGATGCCTTACCATCTTTGTCAGAGAATTTTAACATCCCTGTTCTCTCAGTGTTTAGCATTTGTTGATTTTTTCTCTTTCATATTTCTTTCATATTTAATGTTCAGCATTTTAGTAGACTCAGCAGGAAAACTACAGAGAAATAGTCTAGTCTCCCTTTAAATTACTAAATCATTGTCTTCCTTTAAATTACTAAATTATCCATACCTTCTGGATTACTTTTCCTGATCAATGTCATCAGCAGGTTGCATATTTTTAGACCTTTTTTTTTGAAGAAATAAATGTTATATGTATTCATTTTCTCAGTTGGATCTTATTTCTTTTCTGATCTGTTTTTTATTATTACCTTCTTTCTATGGATGTCTTGTTATTTTTCTAACTTTTAAATTAGATTTTGTTCTCACTAATTTTTGCCTTTCTTTATTCAGAATACACACTTTTAAAGCTGTAACTTTTCCTATTAGCTTTCTCTTAGCTGCTTGCCTCAAATTCGGGCATGCAGTAATTTTATTATTGTTGTGGTCAAATTATTTTCTAATTTCATTATTATGTTGTGCTGTTCATTTCTTATTGAGAAGCATGGAAAAAGATGTTCTGTCTAGGGGGATTACAAAGTTATCTTTTGCTAATGATTTCTAATTTAATTGCCAAGTGGGTGGAAAGCCTTGTCTGTTGATTTCCTGTCTTCCGTTTGTTGAAACTTGCACAGTGAGTCAGAACATGGCCAGTTTTTTTGTTGTTGTTCTCTAGGGGTTAGAGGAGGAGTAACCTCTAAATGGCAGGTGCTGCATTTTATGCGCACACACTATCATGTTCGTGTGTTTTCATGCATTCTACCTCTTCATTACCTTGTCACTGGACTATGTGAACTGTAGCAGAATGGCACATTGGCCTCTTCTGCTGGACAGGCCGTTTGCTGGCTTGGCTTGGGTGTTGCTCATAAGACTGAATTCACAGCCACTGCATACTTCCTCAATGCACGTAATAGCATCTCTTGACTGGATTATTGCTTAATTTCTTAGATTTTCTCCTGGCTTCTTCTCCTGCCCCTCTTTACCTTCAACCTGTTTTTCACACCAGCAGCCAAGTTGCTGTGTTAAAATATCATGATTTATCATTGGCTTTTTTTCTCTCAAAACCTTCTCAGAACCTGGTTTCCTCCAGATTTCACCTGTACCCTTTCTTAAAATGGCCTAAAACATCCCACCCAACACAGCCCCTTTCTATCTCCACACCATCTTCAGCTGCCCTCCCCTCGCTCACCCTCTCTGGGCAAGACGAAGGCATAGGGAAAGACCAAGGGACTAGCCTCTGACACTGATTTGTTGTGGCAGCCTATTCAGCAAGGCATTAAAAACTGTGGCTTCTGCTGTTCCTAAGTGGGTCGTGTAGCAAAGGCCATAGAGGTGAGGAAAGGGGTCATGTCCCTCATTCGATGTCTTCTTTCTTAATACCAATTGTGTTTTGAAAAGGAATAGCAGAGCCTTTCCTCTCTGAGATTTCATCATTATTTTATCTAACTGCACAGGGTGCTGGGTGGCCCTGGCTCCTTGGTACATGTTGGTGATGTAGGAAGTGAGGCTTTGCATGAATGTGTCTGTCATGTCATTGTCCAAATTGCTAGTCTCATGGTATTCCTTACCAATTTAGTGTCACAGGGCTATTTGTATTTAGTAAACTAGTTTCCTTTAGATGTATCTAAAACAGTGTAAATTGTCCTTTGGTTAAAGTTTGTTGATTTCTGGTTTGATTGCATTTGTATCAGAGATTTCTGCCTATACTATTTCTGTTGTGTAGAACTTACTGAGGAAATAATCCTTGTCTGCTGGCATTGTGAGAGCTTCTTAGGGAGAAGGGGCAAGAGTTTCATTGTTCATCTGTTTTCTAACATGTAATACTGTGGTTTTAATTTCAGCATTTCCCTACCTTTAGAACCACTAGTTGTCATATTCTGAGTGGGTAACTCTCTTCAGTTGTCCATGGGAAGAGAAGAGTACTTACCTACTGATTAGGATTTCTGGGGGCCCGAAGCTACCTTCCAAAAAATGTAAATGATGATTTCTGTTTCTACTCCCTGGCTTCCATGTCTTACCTTGGGAGCCATGCGGCAGCCTTCTAGAATCCGTTGTGTGAACGAGAGTTTCCTAGTGGCTTCTCCCTTATAGGCTTAGGTTCAGCGCTCTTTGCTTGGCTGTATTGGTCACCAGTTTTTCATCCACTGTCCAGATTCCAGAGTTGTGTTGACACTACTTGTTGGTTGTTCTAGATTCTTTTGACTTATTAGTGCTTGTGAGTTTGTGCTTTTTTATCTTGTGTCATTTTAGTGCAGTTCCTGTAAGGTGGAGATGAACACATGTTAATTTTGTCATGTTTAATGGGAGGTTTCTTCCGTTGCTTTAAATAAACTTTTGAGTTTTTATTACCTCTGTTTTTTTAGTTGAATATTATTCACATACCATAAAATCCACACTTTTAAAGTATACATTTTAGTAGTTTCTAGAATATTTACAAAGTTGTGCACCCATCACCACTAATTACAAACATGTTCATCCCCCAGAAAGAAACCTCACGCTCATTGTTAGGCACTCCCATTCCCCTCTTTACTCAGCCCTGGAAACCACTAGTCCACTTTTTGTTTCTGGATTGCCTGCCCTGCACAGTTCATGTAAATGGGATGCGACAGTATGTGCCTTTCTGTCTGGCTTCTTTCCCTCAACATAATGTTTTGTAGGTTCATCCATGTTGCAGCTATCAGTTCTTCATTTCTTTTTTGTGGCTAAATAATATTCCATTGTATGAATATGCCACATTTTGTTTCCTTATTCATCAATTGGTGAATACCTGGGTTTTTCCATCTTTTGGCAATTATGAATAATGCTGCTGTGAACATTTATGTACAAGTTTTTGTGTGAACATATCTTCAGTTCTCATGGTTATATACTTAGGATTAGAATTGTTAGGTCATATGGTAACTCTCCATTTAATTTTCGTGGTACTTCTAGACTGTTTTCCAAAGTGGCTATACCATTTTATATTTGTACCAGCAACGTATGGAGATTCTAGTTTCTCCATATCCTTGCTGACACTTATTACTTTCTGCTTTTTTCCCTTCCTCTTCCTTCTCCTCCTTTTCTCTTTCTCCCTCCTCCTCCTCTCCTTCTTCTTCCTACTACTATTATTGCTATCCTAAGTGGGTGTGAAATGATATTGTGGCTTTGATTTGCATTTTTCTAAAATGATGTTGAGCTACTTTTCATGTGCTTATTCGACATTTGTATATCTTCCTTAGAGAAAGATGTATTCGACTTCTTTGCACATTTTTTGTTGTTTTTTAAAAAACTGTTGAATTGTGAGATTTCTCTATGTAGTATGAATATTAATTCCTTCTCAGATATATGACTCGCAAATGTTTTTCCCAATTCTGTAGGTTATATTTTCACTTTCTGATTAGTGCCCTTTGATACATAAAAGCTTTTAGTTTTGAGGAAATCTAATTCATCTGTTTTGTTTGTTTGTTTGTTGCCTGTGCTTTTTGGTATTATATCCATGAAATCATTGCCAAATCCAGTGTCATAAAGATTTTTTTCAATGTTTTCTTCTAAAGGTTTTATAGTTTTAGCTCATAAGTCTGGGTTTTTCATCCACTTTCAGTTAAGTTTTGTATATGGTATAAGTTTAGGGTCCAAGTTCATTCTTTTGCATGTAGATACACAGTTTTTCCAGCACCGTGTGTGACAAAGAGTATTCTTTTCCTTTTGAATTGCCTTAGCCCCCTGTTAAAAAGTCTTCCATTGCTTTCTGATGAATTCTCACTCTTTGACCTGAAGCCTCACTCGACAGTCAGGCCCCTCTCATCCTCTGATCAACAGCACCTTAAACCTTCGACTGCACTTGTGTGTGACTGTCTTCTCAAGTGAGATGCTGTGTGACCATATGAAAGGGAGGTTTTACTCAATGTTATCTTACATGGAATTTTCTTACATGTGGTATTTTCTCACATTCCATTTGAACCTCAACATATTATATGGATATGACATTTTAGCTTGAGACAAATTCAGTCATTGCTGTGGTTTATTGCCTGCAGTGGTTACCTGATTGGCTCAGAGAAAGGCAAAGGCATTTAACATAGGTTTCTAATTACTTTTGGTGCTATGACCTCACAGTTCCAAATGTTGAGACACTGTTATAAACAAGCCTTTTAAAATGTCTAAAGCAATAGTTTGTAAAGGTCATAAATATCTACCTATGGAATAGAGTGGAAAATTCAGCAAACAGGATACTTTTATAAAAATGGGTACTTGTGACTGAGGATTAAATTTCTAATTTGAGCTATAAACATGAATTCAAAATGTAGAAAGTCAAAAACTTTAGATAGACCAAGGCAAAAATGATACACTCTAGAAAAACATCAGATGGTACAGAAGGTGGCTCTATTTGGACAAAATTGCATGCTGAAATGGAAGAGTTTGAATTAAAGCATTTATAATAACCATGAAAGTGAAAACCAGCTATGTGTTTAAACTAATACATAATTTCATAAATGTTATTTTTAAATCAGTGTAAATACATAGAAACATACTAAATATTATAAATAAAAAGTTGAGTGTTTTATTTATACTCTCAAAAGTTTGTACAGCTTTACCAAAAAGCTTCTTTGGGACTTCTCATTTATAAAGTGGAAGCCTCCTCATATTTTGAGCTGCCTCATTAGGGTTACAATAGAGCAGTGTCCTAGGGTTCATCCTCACTGGTACTGCACTTCTATACTCTGTGCCTGCCTTGTACCTGAATGCTTAAGACACATTTGCTGCTCTGTTGAATGCAAGAAAACCATTCATTCTCTTGAACCTAATGGACAGGGTCATAAATTTGTAAGCTCTTATGCCCTGTGTTTTTGTGTTTTAGGTAGTTGTGCTTCAAGACAAAAGTCAGACCTTCTGTAAATCACCAGTTCCAGTTATGATGCTCTAAATTACGACGAGTCTGAACATTTGTGTCTATGGATCTGCTCTGACTCTTAGAGCCGCTTATGGGGGAAGGTGAGTTGCTGTGAAGTATCTTTTGTTTACTCATTTGTTTGTTTACCAAGAATGTATGTAACAAAGTCAGACTCACCTTTGAAAGTGAAGTATGTTCCATGTGGCCCACCTGCATTTCACTGTCTTTAGTCCATGACAGGGTTTCAACTGGGAAGCAGTGCCTGGGAGAAAGCCAGACCATGAGAGGGAATATTTAACAAGAAAGGCAGTCAATGCAATAATGTGATAATGTGGGAACCTCTTGGCTTGCTGACTCTTGAGACGTCACTTTGTGCTGAGCTGGCGTTTGAAGAAGCTGGTCTGTGCTTGCAGGAGCAGGTCAACACTGAGGCAGAAATGTTTCCCCATGGCTCTTTGCTTTAAATTTTTGTCAAGCATGGGTACCCTTAGAACTGTTTTCCCCTAAGAGTTCTTGTTTTTACTCCCATAGACCTTCATCTTGCCACTTTGTAAAGAATGCTGGGTGGGGAATCTGAAGAGCTGGGTCTGTTGTCAGTGTCTGTACTGGTTCTCTGTGAGTGAGCACCAGCCATGTGCATAGTCCTGTGCTAAGCACTGCACATTGGCCTGGCTCTGCTGACAGTCCTGGTATGTGTGTGGTATGCATGAGTGTGTGTGTGGGGGGGTACAAGAGTATGTGTGCAGGAAAGCACACGTGTGTATGGGTGTGGGAACATGTGTGTATGGTTGCAGAGCATGTATGTATAGTTATGTGTGTATAGAAGCTTGTGAGCATGTGTGCAGTATTGTGTGTGCAGGAGCATGTATGCCAGTGTCTATGAGAATGTGTCAGAAACACATGTAGAAGCATGAGTGCATGTTTGCAGGACTGTATGTACATGTGTGTTCCAGTATAGGAATATGAGTGTATTTGTGCAGCAGTGTGTGTACAGGAGCGTGTGTGTCTCTACGCCAGTGTGCATGTATGCAGGAGCATGTGTTCTGTGTGCTGCTGTACGCTCCGCCCCGAGGTCCACATTCTCTCTGATGGGCCTTGAAGTTCTGAGTCTACAGGACTGACTTTCTCTGGCCAGCGTATACCTGTAAATCAGGCCTCAGAGGTTCCTTCATCAGCTCACATGCCTTGTCCCTCTCCAACCCAGTTCTAGATTATTCATGTGTTTTTAATAAGAGGGACTGCCAAAGCCTTAAGAATACACTTGAGGATGTTTTATTCACCTACAGGCACAACAGCAGCCACAGGGAGTCTCCTTCAAGCTGTTTCCTGTGTTAATCCAGATTCCCAACACAAATGTTCAGTAGGTTCTGAGTTAACATACCTCCCAGGTGCATGTGCATCTTAAAAGATCTGATTGAGCTTGGTCGAAAAATGCAAATGCAAATGAAAGATACCCAAAATGAAATAAAGCAAAATATTCAGGGAACAAACAGTGACAGGAAGAAAACCAGGACTCAGAGCAATGATGGAACAAAAGGAATAAATAGACATCCAACCAGAACAGAATGAAGAAACAAGAATTCAGAAAAGCGAAGAGTCTTACAGACCTCTGGGACAACCTGAAATGTTCCAATATCCTAATCATAGGGGTGCCAGAAGGAGAAGAACAACAAGAAGTTGAAAACTTATTTGAACAAATAATGAAGGAAAACTTCCCCAATCTGGTAAAGGAAATACCAATCTGGTGAAGGAAATAGACTTCCAGGAAGTGCAGGAAGCCCAGGGAGTCCCAAAGAAGTTGGATCTAAAGAGGAACATGCCAAGGCACATCATCTTTAAGTTACCCAAGATTAAAGAGAAAGAGAGAATCCTAAAAGGAGCAAAAGGAAAGGAGAGAGTTACCTACAAAGGAGTGCCTATGAGGCTATCAGCTGATTTCTCAGAAGAAACCTTGCAGGCAGGAAGGGGCTGGAAAGAAGTATTTGAAGTCATGAAAGGCAAGGACCTACATCCAAGTTTACTCTATCCAGCAAAGCTTTCATTTAGAATGGAAGGGCAGATAAAGTTCTTCCCAGATAAGGTTAAGTTAAAGGAGTTCATCATCACCAAGCCATCATTATATGAAATGTTAAAGGGACTTATCTAAGAAAAAGATAAAAAATATAAATAGTAAAATGACAACAAACTCACAACTATCAACAAATGAACCTAAAAGAAAAGAACAACAATGAAAACAAAAACTAAGCAAACAACCAGGACAGGAACAGAATCAGAGAAATGCACATCGCATGGAGGGATTTCAGTAGGGAGAGGGAAGGGAGGAATTGGGGGGGAAGGTACAGGGAAGAAGAAGCATGATTAGTAGGCATAAAATAGACAAAGAGAGATAAAAAATGGTATAGGAAACAGAGGACTCACAGAACTTATATGTGTAACCCATGGACATGAACTAAGGGGAGGATGAAAGGGGGTTGGGGGCTGCAAGTTGGAGGGGCATAAAGGGAGGGAAATTGGGAACACTGTAATAGCATAATCAATAAAAATACTTTTTAAAAAGTCACAAGACTTAATAAGGACCTCCTTGTCAACTCTCTCAAGGTCACCATTCCTCTCAGTATCAGCTGTCTTGCCCACCCTACCTAGATGCTGCCTGTCCGGTTTTGGTGTTTTTTGAATTGCAGTTCAGCATTTTTAATCCCACGGTGCTTGACCTAATTCCGTAAGCGTGTGTCCTGTGCTGTTTTGATCTTTGCTTTGTTCTTCTTTCCATGAAGGAAGGTTAAAACCATTTCAGCCTCCAGGTGTCTGTGTCGGCTATACGTCAGTGACTGGTCACAGCAGATTGCCAGTCTGTTCTGGGTTTGGAGAGGAGCCTACGGAAATGACTCCTTTCACACGACTGGCATGTCCCAGGCTGTGGTCGAGAGCAAGGCTGGTTATGTAAACTGGAGCTGGGACTGACCAGAGTTCTTCAGGTACATGGTAGAGGATGGGCTGGGAGTACCCCCAGGCTAGGAGCCAGGAGCCAAAGATCCTGGCTCCTGGATCCTAGGATCCAGGTCTCCTGCTGGTCTCTTTGTCTCCTTTCCAGCCTGCCTACATCCATAAGACCTGCATTGCTTATTGCCTGCTTTCGGCCTGGCCACGTTTGGCAGGTACCCGTGTGCTCTTCGCTAAGTGTATCACCCCACATATTCACAGGACATGGCTACAGAAGTAATGGGTAGAATCCACTAAGACAGAAAACCCACAGCTATAGAGGAGATGACCAGCCATTAGCCCAACTCATTCCAATGAACACAAAGCCACTGAGCGCCCAGAGCTGGCTGACCCCCCAGGGGAGTAGTGTGCTTCCTCTGCCCCCACATCCTACCACTGCCTCTCCTCCACTCCTCTCTCCACTGGCAGTGCTCCCCCTACCCTTGAAATTGCTTACACTCACATCCTCAGTTCTCCCCCTGGCCTTGTCCCTTTTAGCTGCATTCAGCTTATTAGGGGTAGCTTTTCTGCCCCTCGTGCCCTGGATGCCACCATCTCCCATTTTTCCTCAACCTCTGGGCCATGTCTCCTCTTCGCCTTTGTAGTCCCTGCACCCTTAGCTCCTCCTCTTCAGCTGGTGACCCTAGTCCTTCATGTCCCTTCTGTACATTGCTTTCTTTCCTCTCATCTCTTCACGGGTTTGACTTCTGCCTTGCTGCCTGTCTCTGCTTCCACTGCACATGAGCAGGCAGGCACGCCCTTTGGCAGCACATCCACTTGCAGTAACCACCCAAATCTGTCCCTTTGACAACTGTCCTTGCTGTCACCACTCGTTGATCTTACACCAGACCTGCCTTGTCAAGGTCCACAGAGCTGCCCCTGCCAGACCCAAAGGTCAGTATCCAGACCTCCCCTACATTCCCTCAGTGATACTTGATGCTGTTAGACTCCCTGTAGGCAGGGGCGTGGGCCCTCAATGGCCGAGCATTTTGACTGTGAGCTCGCCATGAGTGACTGCACTGCTCTCTGTGGAGGATTAGGGCAGGTCTTATGTGGAGAGCTGCTGGGAGGAGTGAGTTAGCCTGCAGTGCCAGACACACAGCAAGGCTTGTATTAATGTTCACTGTTAGCATTTTCCTCCTCTGCCTGGACACTAAACGTTGACTTCCCCAGGACTCGGCGAAATCAGGCACCAGTGACAGAGCCCGCCCTGGTGTGGGAGGGTGGGATACCCTGGAGTGCAGCTGGCTGAGACAGTGTGTCACTGTTTGCCAGAGCTTCAAGCACATGTATCCTTTGACCCAGAAATTACATCTATAAATATGTATTCCAAGGAAATAAGAGAAGGATATGAAGAAGTACGCCCAAAGATTATTATTAAAACATTGTATAATGCAACAATTCATAAGCCTGGATACACAATTATAGCAGATTGGTTACATTCTTATGCATACAAATACACGAAATCTTATGTATAAAATAGAATGCTATGGGAATTTGATCACTATTATGTAGATTTAAATATATTGACATAGGAAAATGTTTTATATATAGTGGTAAGTGAGAAAAACAGGACAATCATGGGTGGTTTAATCCTATTTTAATTTAAAATATATTAACACACACCTATTGGAAAAAATATAAATAGGTAGACTTCAAAAATATATCACTACCACTGGTGGTCTTTCTGGATAATTGTTATTTTTTTGCATGTATGCATTTTTTATTGTTTTTCTGTAATGATTATCCAGTACTTGTGTTATTTTATCTATTTAAAAAATTTTATTGAGTCTACTGGTGTGGCATTGGTTAAGAAATAATATATGTTTCAGGTGTACAACTTGATAATATATCATCCATATATTGTGTTGAGTACTTGTGTTATTTTAAATTTTTTATCCTGCAAGGAATGATCAGGCTGACCTTGGTCAGAGATACCTGCATGTCCCCCACTTCTCTCTGTGCACCTTTGCTGGTATTAGAGAGTCATGGCAGAGATAGTGGGTGCACACAGTGGCCAGCTCAGGCCCCCCCTGGCCAAATGCACACTCATCCTCACAGCCACTCTGCATCCATGTTTTCACCACTACTCCATACATGGTTTTTTAAAGATTTTATTTATATATATTTTAGAGAGAGGGGAAGGGAGGGAGAAAGAGAGGGAGAGAAGAAACATTGGTGTGAGAGAGAAACATCTATAGGTCGCCTCTTACACACACCCAAACCAGGGACCAGCCCGCAACCCAGTAATGCCCCCTGATTGGGAAGCAAGCCAGGCGATATTTGACTTTGTGGGAGGTTGCTCAACCAACTGATTCACACTGGTGAGGCTGATACATGTTTTGTTATTTATCCACACCTGATTTTGTGTGATATGATGAGATACAGATAATAACTCAGTGGAAGTTGGAGCTAGAGGGCAACTTTCTCCTGCTTGGTGGGTGCCCGTCCTGATGGGTGGACCAGCGTGCATTCTCCTTGTTCTCCCCCGGGGTCCTGGTCTACCCTTCCACCCTTCACTGCCCACATCAGAACCCTCACATCTGGGTGGCTCTGAAGGATGCACAGGGCTCATCTATTCCCAAGCTTCCATGTGCAGCTTGCTTTTACAGCTGGACCTGGAAGCTGTAGATGACAATGAAGAATAAATGGGAAGGTGAGAATTCACATTTGGTGCCATTTCAGGCCCCTCATCCTGCTGAAGAAGAGCCTCAGCCTGCAGTCCTGGGGCCAACCCCACTGTGCATCGGTAGGACTGGCTTCTTGTGAGGCCTGTCCACAGCAGACAGCTGACAGTGGCAGTGACAGCTCAAGTCTTAAGAGCTGCATTTTGATTAATATTGGGTCATGAGATCCCCCCACCCACCCTTTCCTTTCCAAGGGCTTAGCTGCTGCACTGGATGTCCTGCAGGCATTTGTGCGGTAGCCCCTGTTTGGGGGAAAGAGTCATTGAAATGACAGCATATTTGTGCCAGGCGCACCCCTCCAACAGAATGAGGGGAGTTGGGCAAAAAGTAGGTCACATGTGCCTCGTCCCATGTCACGAGGTCTCCAACCTGAGGCCAATGGGATTTGCAGCTTCCTTTGGTTTAGAACAAAACACCACTCTAATTTTCTCCTTCTCTAAACGGGAAGAGTGACCATCTGTCCAATAGCCACGTCCACCCAGCCCTGCCCGACCGCATAGCTGCTCTGTTCAGAGGTAAGGGGGTGCTGGGGTCTAGCGAAGGCTGCCCTGGCGAGGAGGATTCGGAGGTAAGGGGGTGCTGGGGTCCAGCGAAGGCTGCCCTGGCGAGGAGGACAGGCTTATGCACACGGAGCCCACGGAGACCAGGGTGAGGAGCAGGGTGGGTGGGGGTCATCAGGAAGTGTCGTGAGGTCTTGCTGCAGCAATGTTGTGTTTTGCTCAGGACCAGGAGAGTGGACAGGGTGTCTAACTTATAGATAGTTCTGGGCATTCCGATGAGAGTATTCATATTGGGTCCTTTGTTTCCAAAATCTGGTTCGTTTTTAAGGATCAGGGTCAACGATTAACAGTCTAATGTTAAAGTGTTATTGTGTAGAAAAGTAAACATGCAATTTTACAGATGTTTGTCATCAGTGATACTGGAGTAGGTTTGGGAATATAATTCTTATACTCAAAAACATCAGCCATCCCTGTGGAGTGGGGCTCTGCGCTCTCAGTATGGTGAGCGCCTTTGTTTGGGAATGTCAACCTCTCAAGGAAACAGGTGAGCAGTTGGCTTCCAGTAGTATGAATGGAGAGTGAGGTCTGCATATCTGAACAAGGTTAATACTTGTACATTAGTATTGGATGGAGAATGTACAGTTTTGGGGTTTGATACTAATCTTGAGAAATAACACAATTCTTTTATTAATGGGAAGGCCAGCGAACGTGATTCCTTTGTGATAAGTAGGTGTAGAATGTATAGTAGTTTAAAGGTGTTTGTAAAATAACCTGAATTTTACAGCTTATAAATAACCAAATTTGGGGGGTTTTGCCTGACCTGTAAATGAACTAAGGTATTCCATTAGTTCAGGATCCTTCAATGAACGTATTTTGGCAAATAATGAGTAGAATAAAATATCCTCAAAATGTATGTAGATCATTGGTGCCGTGCTGAGACAAATTGTATCTCCTGTTTGTATTTGCTGGGGAAAAAATGTTTCCAAAAATAGTTTGTGGGAACCAAAGTCATAATGGTATTTGATTTATATTTTATAGGAAAAAATGTTTTTGCCTTTCATAGATAAAATATCTAATATTTTATTTGTATTTTAACTAACATCCCAGGAATTATGGGTCTGTGGCCAAGTTCATAGAAGTAAATGTAAACACTTCCAATCATGAATTCTACATTTTAGATGTAAAAAAGAGCATTTGCACCCTTGGTAAGAAAAGAAGCTTTTCTCTTCTTGAGAGTAATGCCCGGTGCAAATACTCTATTAGAGCGATATCCATTTCCTTCCAACTGCAGCCTTTGAAGCAGTCTCATGGCATATTTCTAAAGGACTCTTTCTTATCCATTTTCCATTCTTGAAGAAGGGAACTCTTTCTACTCTTTCAGTAAGATAGGGCAGAAAATTTCAATGTTTTCGTATGTATGATTATAGAATTTGTTCATTCCTGGGGAGGTTCCACATATTTTGATGAAGTTTTGAACAGTCTCCTTTTCCTACCACGCCTGACATGTGTCCCCATTGTCTAGGATAATGTGACCACTTAGTCATCTCATGTGGTAACAAGACTGAGACACTCTGGTGTGACAGCCATGTATGTTTGTGTTAATAAAATTGCAAGGTTATACCCTCAAATTATTGCCTTTAGGGGGAAATGAGAACTGCTGTCTGTGCCCCACAAGTGTTACCCAATGGTGATTTTCTCTTCTTACAGCAGAACAGACTTTTTTTTCCAGAAGTAACATAAATGCAACAATGCAGAAGTAACTGGCCATGACCCCTTTGCGTTTCTTGGAAGACTATCCTAACAGAAAGC